TGGTTTTCAACCTCGGAGAGTGTACGGCGGGTACAAAAAACGACTTTCAGTATTCACTTCGGAAAATGCATCCCTTCTTGTAACCACGCGCAAGGTTCGAAGTGATGCTGTTTCTATGGAAACAAAGAATTCAGTATACAATTGGTGGACATCGCCACACAATGCCAGACCTACTGGAAACAAAGTTGATATAAAGAGGAAAAGAACTGGCTTAAGAGCATACGTAAGCCACCCAATCCTTATTCTAGAGAAAACACAGACAGAAATATATAATGAATTTAAAACGAAAAACCCGCCATCAAGATTAGCCAACGAGTTTTTGAAAAATTACGACCTTACTTTGTTCGTCAAATGCGAGCGAAAGATCGGAATACATGTTGCTGTCGGAAACACGTCGAGACACGGATGCTATTTCGAAGATGTATGGATTTCCGTAGGAAGGTAACAAACGGAAACGATTCAGACGAAAACGAAGACGACAACAGTTACCGAGCGTAGGAACATTTAAGCGATATTGTCGATGCAACATTGTGTGCAAAAGGACAGAACACCTACCCAAAATTGAATTGTTTAGACAGGAAGTGTCAAAGTTGCGGTGTTAAAACTTTAAAGCTCCTTCTGGCAGAAACCAATGACGCAGGAAATATAATCTGGGAACGGTACGAATACAAAGAAATCGCTGTGAAGGGAGGTGGCAAGCGACGAAAACTCCTGATGATTAAGCAATCAACATCTTCCGCAGAAATGATTCAATATTTCCATAGTATGTTGGATACCTTTGCATCAGGTGGCAGAGTACAGTAGAAATGGCTTGACCCTAAAAATAAAGGGCATCTCTCGGATAAACATGGATAGCGGATTCATCCTGCACAACACACCTACATATATATATATATTTATAAACTACATGTTTAATAGGTGTTTTTTAGAAGAACATTTTTTTTTTCAAAAAGCAATTTCCCCAGATTTGGGACTTCTGAAAACCATGGTTACCATATCAAAAAACACCAAAATATGCAAAAAATCATGATTTTTAACCCAGAATTTGACCCCCGCAAGTAGAATTGTTTTTCTTAAAACCTGTCTGAAATTAAATATCGCCTACTCGGTAACAGAAATACTCACGTTTTAGCATAGGTCATTCCGGTGGATTTTTCACAATATTTACACATGTGCTGAGTACAAAAATAGACTACCTGAAAAGCTAGCTTTTGTTGTGTAGACACAGATTCGTAAATGCCCAAAATTGTAGTCTCAAACCAAATTCGACTTTTCTTTTTTTTAAATTATGAAGCCCACATAGTCCACTTCATCATGTATATGCCAATTTTAGTGCTGATTTTTTTTTAAAATTTTGATACATGTTATATTACAGGGGTTATTCATTGTATAAAAATATCACCCATGGCCACCGTACGCTACTGTACTCTGCTACCTCACACCAATTCCGGGCATCCTGACAGCTAAACCAACTGAATTCATTGAAAGATGATCTTCCACCAAAAACTTGTCTAGTGATTCACGACTTAAGTGAAAATTATCGTTGCATCGAAAAAGACGAACTGCAATCATCTTACTTTTCCAAACCGGAAGTTTCCATACACGTTTCCGTCATATACAGATACGGAGTTGATGAAGAAGAAATTGTCTCTGAAATTTTGTTTGTGGTCAGTGACGATTTGACTCATGACCAACATTTTGTGCATCGCGTGCAGAAAGAAATAAAATACCATCTGGATAACATACACTATGAAGTAGATTCCATGATAGAGTTTACCGACGGATGTTCCGCGCAATATAAAAGCCGCCATTGTATGGGCATGTCATCTTTCGTATGCTCCGAAATGGGATACGAGAAGTTTCAAAGAAACTACTTTGAAACTTCGCATGCTAAAGGCCCACAGGACGCAGCCGGAGGGCTTCTTAAACGTATGCTTGACCAAGCCGTAATGAAAGGAATCCCAATTCAGGACGTGTCTGAAGTCTACAATTATGCCTCGAAGTATCTAGATAACCCCAAAGGTGGTGTATACAGAAGGAGAATATTCCGCTATGTTGATGAAATTGATCGATCGGCACCGAAGACATTCAATCCTGTCGCAAACAATAGGAAAATACATCAAATATTTTCAAAGATGGCGAAATTTTATTGAGAGCACATTCCTGCTACTCATGTGACAGTTGCTTAAATGGATTGCCGTTAACTTGTATGAACACTGACTATACTGGAACTAATCGCTTGATAAAGGTACAGGCAGAACTAGAAGGCCACAAGGCACTGTCGATGTAGCGGAGGTAAGCCATGTGAGAAGTGCGTGTACACAAATTATCTAAATTCATTTTTTTAATTCGATTTAAGATAAAATAAAATGATATGCTAGTAAAATTAATCATCGTGATTTAGAATCCTACTTTATTAATTTAATTTCTTATAAATAAGTTTATTCAGCATCAGTCTCTCTAATATGCGTTTAATAATAACCGTTTAAAATTGTATATCTCCTTGTGCTATTCATTGAAATTGATTTTTTTTATTTCATTAATGATGATTTATAGAATGCTACCGACAGGAGACATAATAGCCGTGTTTACTGACGATGTTACCAGTGACTATTATCTGATTAAGGTACTTGCCACTAGTTTGAAAGATATTTTTCAGTAATTCACTCTTTCGTAGAGCAAATTATGCGTGTTTACCGTTCAAAGTAATAGCACATTTATCATTTTACTGGTAAATCCATCCTCTTACATGCAGGAAGTTTTTTTATGTATACACACACCCTTGTCTATATGTACCAAGAATGACGATTTAAACAAATGTCTTTATGCAGGTAACAAGTCCTACGTATAAGCTGATCAGATGTACGGAGGATGACGGGGGGAACAATTTCCAGCGTGGATCGGAGGTAATAGAGGGCCTCTATTTTGACCAGCTGGACGCTTTCCCTTTGAGCTTCGGAGAGGCAAAGTAGCTATTATGTATGCTGTGGCAGCAGTGTATATTTTGACGGACAGCACGATGAAATATAACAAGTTACAGCTGAAGGAAGAAGAACATCTAGATATTTTAGCCTGTGTAAATGTGATTAGCAAAACGTAAATTGTACGTTATACAATTATATATTGGTATATGTGTCTCTCTGTCTCTGTCTCTCTATCTCTTTATTCCTCTTTCTCATTATCATAAAATCACTAATAAATTATACTTGTACGTACATTTTAAAGGAGATTAAAATTGTGTAATGTGATAACTCTGAATGTAACAACACCTATGTTTGACTGAACGGCAAATTATATCACGTCATAATACAATTACATATAATTTGAGCGTGTCCTCTCTCCCGGGCTTCAATCAAATATTTTCCTCCGGGATTATTTTGTTTTGTGTATGTAAGTGTACGTGCTTAATCAATCTGTGCTTTATAACGAACATATCATGGTTACACTGAAGTAGTATATGACATAAATACGGGTAGAGTTATTTTTTCATTTTTTTCTTTCACATGTCAAATAAATGTCAAATAAATAGGCTTTACATATGCTTATTTCCATTCCGGTGGCTTTGAAAACACGTGTTTTACAAAGCCAGCCGTACGTCAACACTGTCAAACCTGAAACGAAATGACGGCAAAGTCATGTTACACTATTGTGCGTCAACGTACATCTGACGTTGTAATAGGACGAGGAATAGTGATAAAGATAGTGCCGTCGCTTGGCCTCGAACCTGTAACCCTTGGCTCTCCAGCCCGATGCTCTACGGTACCGCTAAGCTAAAGGGAAATTCCCTACAGCGGACGCTTGTAAGGCAACCTAATCAATCCACATCTTTTACAATACTCCCAAAAACCAACCCAGGTTCTTGACTCTCCGCCAAGGGTTCTCCTACCTTGAAGGAGGAGGGTCAACCGCGCCAGTGTGTTGTAAGACGAGGAACAGTGATTATGATGGTGTCATCGCTGTGGCTCGAACCCGCGACCCTTGGCTCTCCAGCCCGATGGTTTACCGTTAAGCTAAAGAGAATTTCCCTACAGCTGATGCTTGTAAGTCAACCTAATCAATCCACATCTTTTACATACCTGTGAAAAGTTCTCAGGCCCCTGTGACCGGGTTATCATGGGGTATCTTTATGATCCAAACATATCTACAAGGATAATTTCACAGGCCCCTGTGACCGGTCTTACTTGGGGTAGCTATATGGTCAAAACATACCCCCAAGGATAATTTCACATGACCCTGTGCTCGGGCTAACTTGGGATAGCTAGATATGATCCAAATATACCCGCAGGGATAATTGTACAGGCCCCTGTGACCGGGCTAACTTGGGGTAGATATATATATGATCCAAACATACCCACAGGGATAATTTTACAGGCCCCTGTGACCGGGCTAACTTGGGGTAGATATATATGATCCAAACATACCCACCGGGATAATTTTACAGGCCCCTGTGACCGGGCTAACTTGGGGTAGATATATATATGATCCAAACATACCCACAGGGATAATTTTACAGGCCCCTGTGACCGGGCTACCTTGGGGTAGATTGTATTTGATCCAAATATACCCACAAGGATCCAGTGACCAGAATAATTAGATGTACTTATTATCATGACAAAGAAAATGTAAGACTAGCAATTTAGACTTAAAAAGCATAGTGTTATGAGAGAAAGAGATAACACTTTTAATTATGTGTCGATGGTTAAAGGGACACAACTCAAGTACAAATCACAATATTGACTGTTCATTCTCTGGGGTGTGACAAATCACCGACTGATGAAATGTATATTTCATACCCTTAAATACGTTTCTTTTCGGTTCAGTTCTGGTTCTGTTCTTTTTTGGTGTAGTTTTCTGTTTTCGAATGTATTTAATTCGCTTGGAATATAATCGTATACCTTTCGTTTCGGTTCCTACTCGGTCCGTTTCGGTGATTTGTTGCACTGATCATGAGTATGAGTCGTTTTGGCCTAACGCCAGAAATCCGGGACATTATACTGTCAGTTAAGTCACGTGATATAGCTGTACCGACACAGTAACAAAATGGTGGCAGTTCACAGTTTGTAGGCGAGTTATTTCCTCAACTCACTAAATTACCAACACCCATGGCAAGTATCGCCGTAAATGTAAACAGATCCGTGCGGCGTGCCCAGGAACCCGTTACATACACGTGTGCTTTGTGTGACAGTGACGACGAGGTACGATGGTTTTGTAACGACTGTCAGGACAATTTATGTGACCGGTGTAAGGAAGCCCATACACGCGGAAAGAAAACTAAAAACGATGACGTTGTTTCGATACGGGAGGCTAACCGTCAGGGTGGCAAGCCTGTACCAGAGGTATGTAAACTACATCCCGGTAAACTGTGTGATCTCTTCTGTTCGGACTGCAACGAATTGCTTTGTTCAATATGTACATCTAAAACTCACAAACACCACAACTGGAAACCTTTCGAAGACGAATTTTCTTCTAAAAAGCAACATTTGAAAGAACATATGACAGCAATTTCTGCTAAAATAGAACATTTCAAGAACGAGACATCAGAGCGACATCATGATTTTGAAGGGTTCAATGGCAGCATTGATACAGTGAGGAAAGAGGTGAACTCCCAAAGGACAAAGTTAAAGGCCGAAGTAGATTCTATCGCTGATGCGATACTTACCGAATTATCGGCTTTAGAAAAAGAAGAATCAACAATGCACAAGAAAGATTGTCAACGATCAGAGAAAAAAGTCGAAGAACTGACGCATCTGCTTAACGAAGCGGAAATGACAGATACATCAAGCGTATCCTTGTTTGAAACTGAAAGGTCATTGAGGACAAGGCTGCCCCTGTATGACGTTAATGTGAGATATGTTTCACCCAAACAACCAAGGTTTGTTACCGGAAGTATCGACAGTGTCATGTTGACAAAAACGTTTGGTAAATTACACCACGAGAACCAGTACGAGAAGATAGACATCGACAGTAAACACGTTCAACGTCTCTCTAAGTTTACTGTCACTCCACAGAATGGAATATACAGTATTTGTCCAGTCGACGACAGTCACGCGTGGTTATCAATACATCAATATCAGGGTCTGGTACTGGTCAACAAGGAGGGTGTGGTCATAGAGACAGTAAAACTGGACTTCTGTCCGTTCATGATCACCATGGTCAGGACAACAGACATACTTATGACCAGTGATCCACTTAGTACATTTGTATATAAACTATCACTACACAACAAACAAGTGACAACATTTGCTGACATCAGACCACATAACGCATTTGACGTCAGTATCAACAAGAGGGGCGAGGTTTTTGTTTGTACAGGTACACCAGACATAGTGGTACTGAATCAGTCAGGTACGATTGTGAGGAAGGCCACGATTGGATCAGAAACTATAATGTTCGTTGTCTGCTTGTCATCGCGACGTCTGTGTGTAGTTCAAACAATTGGAGGAAAGTGGACTGATTTGAACATAAAGATAACAGACGAGTCAGGTACCGTCATACAGACATGGACTGGTGAACTCGACAACGGTCAAAAGGTCGGTAGTATGTGCCTCTGTAAGATGTCATGTGATAAGTACGATAGAGTTTTTGTAGCAGACATCAGTAACAATCAGGTGTACGTCCTACCGAGAGACGGTAAACAAGCTGTGTGTCTCCTAGACCGGACACACGGAGTGGTGAAACTTAAAGCGGTGGGTGTGGACACGTGTGGTAACGTGTGGATCGGGTGTAGAGACAGTACTGTACACGTGATGGGACTGTAACATGAGGAAATAGTGATATACGGTACCCGTGATGGGACTGTAACATGGGGTAATAGAGATATACGGTACACGTGATGGGGCTGTAACATTGGGAAATAGTGATATACGGTACACGTGATGGGATTGTAACATGTGGAAATAGTGATATACGGTACCCGTGATGGGACTGTAACATGGGGTAATAGTGATATAAGGTACACGTGATGGGGCTGTAACATGAGGAAATAGTGAAATCGGTACATGTGATGGGACTGTAACATGGGGAAATAGTGATTTACGGTACACGTGATGGTACTGTAACATGGGGTAATAGTGATATACGGTCCACGTGATGGGACTGTAACATGGGGAAATAGTGATTTACGGTACACGTGATGGTACTGTAACATGGGGTAATAGTGATATACGGTACACGTGATTGGGCTGTAACATGAGGAAATAGTGATATAGGTACATGTGATGGGAATGTAACATGGGGAAATAGTGATATACGGTACCCGTGATGGGACTGTAACATGGGGAAATAGTTATATACGGTACACGTGATGGGACTGTAACATGGCGAAATAGTGATATACGGTACACGTGATGGGATTGTAACATGTGGAAATAGTGATATACGGTACCCGTGATGGGACTGTAACATGGGGAAATAGTGATATATACGGTACACGTGATGTGACTGTAACATGAGGAAATAGTGATATACGGTACACGTGATGGGGCTGTAACATGAGGAAATAGTGATATAGGTACATGTGATGGGACTGTAACATGGGGAAATAGTGATATACGGTACACGTGATGGGACTGTAACATGGGGAAATAGTGATATACGGTACACGTGATGGGACTGTAACATGGGGAAATAGTGATATACGGTACACGTGATGGGACTGTAACATGGGGAAATAGTGATATACGGTACACGTGATGGGACTGTAACATGGGGAAATAGTGATATACGGTACACGTGATGGGACTGTAACATGGGGAAATAGTGATATACGGTACACGTGATGGGACTGTAACATGGGGAAATAGTGATATACGGTACACGTGATGGGACTGTAACATGGGGAAATAGTGATATACGGTACACGTGATGGGACTGTAACATGGGGAAATAGTGATATACGGTACACGTGATGGGACTGTAACATGGGGAAATAGTGATATACGGTACACGTGATGGGACTGTAACATGGGGAAATAGTGATATACGGTACACGTGATGGGACTGTAACATGGGGAAATAGTGATATACGGTACACGTGATGGGACTGTAACATGGGGAAATAGTGATATACGGTACACGTGATGGGACTGTAACATGGGGAAATAGTGATATACGGTACACGTGATGGGACTGTAACATGGGGAAATAGTGATATACGGTACACGTGATGGGACTGTAACATGGGGAAATAGTGATATACGGTACACGTGATGGGACTGTAACATGGGGAAATAGTGATATACGGTACACGTGATGGGACTGTAACATGGGGAAATAGTGATATACGGTACACGTGATGGGACTGTAACATGGGGAAATAGTGATATACGGTACACGTGATGGGACTGTAACATGGGGAAATAGTGATATACGGTACACGTGATGGGACTGTAACATGGGGAAATAGTGATATACGGTACACGTGATGGGACTGTAACATGGGGAAATAGTGATATACGGTACACGTGATGGGACTGTAACATGGGGAAATAGTGATATACGGTACACGTGATGGGACTGTAACATGGGGAAATAGTGATATACGGTACACGTGATGGGACTGTAACATGGGGAAATAGTGATATACGGTACACGTGATGGGACTGTAACATGGGGAAATAGTGATATACGGTACACGTGATGGGACTGTAACATGGGGAAATAGTGATATACGGTACACGTGATGGGACTGTAACATGGGGAAATAGTGATATACGGTACACGTGATGGGACTGTAACATGGGGAAATAGTGATATACGGTACACGTGATGGGACTGTAACATGGGGAAATAGTGATATACGGTACACGTGATGGGACTGTAACATGGGGAAATAGTGATATACGGTACACGTGATGGGACTGTAACATGGGGAAATAGTGATATACGGTACACGTGATGGGACTGTAACATGGGGAAATAGTGATATACGGTACACGTGATGGGACTGTAACATGGGGAAATAGTGATATACGGTACACGTGATGGGACTGTAACATGGGGAAATAGTGATATACGGTACACGTGATGGGACTGTAACATGGGGAAATAGTGATATACGGTACACGTGATGGGACTGTAACATGGGGAAATAGTGATATACGGTACACGTGATGGGACTGTAACATGGGGAAATAGTGATATACGGTACACGTGATGGGACTGTAACATGGGGAAATAGTGATATACGGTACACGTGATGGGACTGTAACATGGGGAAATAGTGATATACGGTACACGTGATGGGACTGTAACATGGGGAAATAGTGATATACGGTACACGTGATGGGACTGTAACATGGGGAAATAGTGATATACGGTACACGTGATGGGACTGTAACATGGGGAAATAGTGATATACGGTACACGTGATGGGACTGTAACATGGGGAAATAGTGATATACGGTACACGTGATGGGACTGTAACATGGGGAAATAGTGATATACGGTACACGTGATGGGACTGTAACATGGGGAAATAGTGATATACGGTACACGTGATGGGACTGTAACATGGGGAAATAGTGATATACGGTACACGTGATGGGACTGTAACATGGGGAAATAGTGATATACGGTACACGTGATGGGACTGTAACATGGGGAAATAGTGATATACGGTACACGTGATGGGACTGTAACATGGGGAAATAGTGATATACGGTACACGTGATGGGACTGTAACATGGGGAAATAGTGATATACGGTACACGTGATGGGACTGTAACATGGGGAAATAGTGATATACGGTACACGTGATGGGACTGTAACATGGGGAAATAGTGATATACGGTACACGTGATGGGACTGTAACATGGGGAAATAGTGATATACGGTACACGTGATGGGACTGTAACATGGGGAAATAGTAATATACGGTACACGTGATGGGACTGTAACATGGGGAAATAGTGATATACGGTACACGTGATGGGACTGTAACATGGAGAAATAGTGATATACGGTACTTGGTCTCATGGTACTATAATCTATTGTGTATATATCATTCCACGGTAGATCACCGATGTATGAAGTCTGAAGTATCCTCAAATAAACAGTGAGTGTATTTTTTATGACCGTGGTAATCAGACAATCACAAGTAACGAGATTGTTTAATACCAACCGACATTACGTGGTCACTTAACTGATCAAGGAATAAGAAAGTATAAGTGAGCTTGATCCAAGATTTTGTTGTATATATGTGTGTTTTTATTTGTTTAGCTTAATTTAATTTCATCATCAATTTTTATGATCATTCTGTATAAAATATATCTGAATGGTTTGTTTCTCGGGAAAATTGTTTCTCAATTACCTAAACCTCAAAATATATAATATTAAATGGCTTTAGATAAGAGCATATTTAGGCAAACAAATGGTATTGTTTATGTCGGGAAACCTATTACCCTAATAGTTTGTGCCCACCCTTAACTATTTTTTATTTATTTTTAAGATTTTCAAGGAAGCACTGTTAAAGTAAAATAACTCTTCTAAATAAATATTTTTTGAAATGAATTATGAGTATAACCACCTACCCTAATTTTTCAGACATGTAACAGGAAATAGACATGTCTTTTAGGCATTCTTCTGTTGGTCTATCGATATATAAATTATTATGAATATTAAACAACTGTTAATTAAAGTTTGTTACACAGATGTTTACAAAATGTAACCAACCAGTAAATGCAGGATAATACAAGTACAGTTGTTTTATACCTTGTAGTATTGAAATGTAACAAGAATGACCGATACATTTTGATTTATATTTACAATTTTATAACTTTTAAATAGACATATACTATAGATATAACTCTAAATAAAAGTTTTTCGTTGTATAACTGCTGTGTCTTTGTTTGTTTGTGGTATTTATCAGTATCTAGAAATTTGATAGTTGTTTCTGAAGGGATCTCTTATATTGTAAAGTCCTTTACTGTCATAATCAGGTTTATTTTTTATTTTACAAAAGCAGAAGAAAAAAAATCAACAAAATCAACAAAAAGAAGATTTTCTACTGTAAATCAACAAAAAGAAGATTTTCTACTGTAAATCAACAAAAAGAAGATTTTCTACTGTAAATCAACAACAAGCGTCTTATGATACTTCGGGATAGGTTTAATAAACATACAGTGATAAATTCACAGGCCCCGGTGAACGGGCTTTCTAGTGGGGCATATGTATGAAATACAATGTTCCCACTGTGATAAATTTGCATGGCCCTGTGACCAGGCTAACTAAAGGTACCTATGTGTGGACCACCATCTAAACAAGACATAAGGATATGTCCAAACATATATACAATGATAAATTATCAGGGCCCTGTGACCGGGCTAACTAAAGGTACCTATGTGTGGACCACCATCTAAACAAAGACATAAGGATAGGTCCAAACTTGCATACAGTGATAACTTATCAGGGCCCTGTGACCGGGCTAACTAAAGATACATGTGTGGACCACCATCTAAACAAGACATAAGGATAGGTCCAAACTTACATACAGTGATAAATTAGCAGGGCCCTGTGACCGGGCTAACTATAGGTACCTATGTGTAGACCACCATCTAAACAAGACATAAGAATAGGTCCAAACTTACATACAGTGATAAATTATCAGGGCCCTGTGACCGGGCTAACTAAAGATACATATGTGTGGACCACCATCTAAACAAAACATAAGGATAGGTCCAAACTTACCTTGAGTGATAAATTATCAGGGCCCAGTGACTAGGTTAATTAGAGTAACATATGACCAGGATAGGTTCAAACGTACCTCGTGATAAATTTTAAGGTCCTTGTTTAAGGCTTACTAGAGTTACACATTATCATGATCGGTTCAAACATACCTACAGTGATCAATCCTCAGGCCCCTGTGAACGGGCTTATTAGAGTAACAAATGTCCACAAGGGTAAATCCTCAGGTCCCTGTGAACGGATTTACTTAAGGTACAATTGTATCTATATCTTCGAGCGGTATTAAAAACAGTATCGGTAAAATAATCAGGGTAAGAAACTCTGTAACATTTTGCCTTATTTAAATATTTTTTGTAAAAAATATGCGGAAGATAACAGAGGATATGAAATGGAGAAGAAATCCTATTTTCTTATATTAACCTTGTATGTTCTCAACGTAAACCTTCCTTTGCTCATATTCTGCTCTTATCTCTTGTTTACGAATTATGTGGTATGTTGTTTTTTTTTCCGGGGGGGGGGGGGGGGGGGGAGTTAGTAGTTTGATGTCAAGTTCAAAGAGGTCATCTTCTTATGATTTTTTATGTGAAGTTGTTGGAAACTATGTCATCGTTTCCCGTTTTTCTGTTACATTATGTTGGGTACTTCAAAGCCATGTCTTCCTGTACGTCAAGTTGTTAGAATCAAAGTCAAACACAGAGATAACTTTTGGTATAGATATTTATTTGACATGAACCACTCACCACATAGAACAAATACAAAGTTAGACAAAGAAACAGTGACTAGAGAAAGAAATGGACACACACCTGGCAGCCAGCACTCCTCCCACACAAATATACTGTAAAATACATCTTTGTCAGAGCTATTATTATAGCGGGCTTACTTAAGGAGCCATGTACCACTGCTTAACACATTTTTTTTAAATAATGGAA